GGAAGAGTAAAGACAAACATTGCTGGTAGGAAGACTAAGGAGACAAATATTGCTGGTAGGAAGAGTAAGGGCACAAACATTGCTGGTAGGAAGAGTAAGGAGACAAATATTGCTGGTAGGAAGAGTAAGGAGACAAATATTGCTGGTAGGAAGACTAAGGAGACAAATATTGCTGGTAGGAAGAGTAAGGGGACAAACATTGCTGGTAGGAAGGAGAGACAAATATTGCTGGTAGGAAGAAAGAGACAAACATTGCTGGTAGGAAGGAAGAGACAAATATTGCTGGTAGGAAGACTAAGGGGACAAACATTGCTGGTAGGAAGAGTAAGGGACAAACATTGCTGGTAGGGAAGACAAAGGAGACAAATATTGCTGGTAGGAAGGAAAGGAGGAGACAAATATTGCTGGTAGGGAAGAGAAAGGAGACAAACATTGCTGGTAGGAAGAGTAAGGGAAACATTGCTGGTAGGAAGAGTGGGGAGACAAACATTGCTGGTAGGAAGAGTAAGGAGACAAATATTGCTGGTAGGAAGAGTAAGGGAGACAAACATTGCTGGTAGGAAGAGTATTGAGACAACATTGCTAAAGGAAGAGTAAGGAGACAAATATTGCTGGTAGGGAAGAGTAAGGAGGACAAACATTGCTGGTAGGAAGAGTAAGGAGACAAACATTGCTGGTAGGAAGAGTAAGGAGACAAATATTGCTGGTAGGAAGAGTAAGAGACAAACATTGCTGGTAGGAAGAGGGAGACAAACATTCAGGGGAAGACAAACATTGCTGGTAGGAAGAGTAAGGAGACAAATATTGCTGGTAGGAAGAGTAAGGAGACAAACATTGCTGGTAGGAAGAGTAAGGAGACAAATATTGCTGGTAGGAAGAGTAAGGAGACAAATATTGCTGGTAGGAAGAGTAAGGGCACAAACATTTCTGGTAGGAAGAGTAAGGAGACAAATATTGCTGGTAGGAAGAGACTAAGGGGAGACAAATATTGCTGGCAGGGAAGAGTAAGGGGACAAACATTGCTGGTAGGAAGAGTATTCAAGGGACAAACATTGCTGGTAGGAAGAGTAAGGAGACAAACATTGCTGGTAGGAAGAGTAAGGAGACAAAATTGCTGGTAGGAAGACTAAGGAAGGAAGAGTAAGGAGACAAATATTGCTGGTAGGAAGAGTAAGGAGACAAATATTGCTGGTAGGAAGACTAAGGAGACAAATATTGCTGGTAGGAAGAGTAAGGGGACAAACATTGCTGGTAGGAAGAGTAAGGAGACAAATATTGCTGGTAGGAAGAGTAAGGAGACAAAAATTGCTGGTAGGAAGAGTAAGGAGAAAAACATTCACAGTAGGGGAAGACTAAGGGACAAATATTGCTGGTAGGAAGAGTAAGGAGACAAACATTGCTGGTAGGAAGAGTAAAGAGACAAACATTGCTGGTAGGAAGGTAAGGAGACAAATATTGCTGGTAGGAAGAGTAAGGGCACAAACATTGCTGGTAGGAAGAGTAAGGAGACAAATATTGCTGGTAGGAAGAGTAAGGAGATTTTTATTGCTGGATGGAAGAGAAACAAACATTGCTGGTAGGAAGAGCAAAGGAGACAAACATTGCTGGTAGGAAGAGTAAGGAGACAAACATTGCTGGTAGGAAGAGTAAAGGGACAAACATTGCTGGTAGGAAGAGTAAAGAGGAGAAATATTGCTAGGAAGGAGAGAAAGGGCTGGTAGGAAGACAAACATTTTTAGGAAGAGTATTGCTGGTAGGGGAAGATTCAGGAGACAAATATTGCTGGTAGGGAAGAGTGAGGAGACAAATATTGCTGGGAGGAAGAGTAAGGAGACAAACATTGCTGGTAGGAAGAGTAAGGAGACAAATATTGCTGGTAGGAAGAAAGGAGACAAACATTGCTGGTAGGAAGAGTAAGGGCACAAACATTGCTGGTAGGAAGAAAGAGACAAATATTGCTGGTAGGAAGAGGAAGGAGGAAGAGGAATTCAAACTGGTAGGAAGAGTAAATTGATGGGGACAAACATTATTGGTAGGGAAGAGTATGGGAGACAAACATTGCTGGTAGGAAGAGAAGGAGACAAATATTGCTGGTAGGAAGAGTAAGGAGACAAACATTGCTGGTAGGAAGAGTAAGGAGACAAATATTGCTGGTAGGATTTTTATAAATGGATGGAAACAAACATTGTTGGTAGAGAAGAGTAAGGAGACAAACATTGCTGGTAGGGAAGATTCAAGGGAGACAAAATATTGCTGGTAGGAAGAGTAAGGGACAAACATTGCTGGTAGGAAGACTAAGGTGACAAATTTGCTGGTAGGAAGAGTGAGGAGACAAATATTGCTGGTAGGAAGAGTAAAAGAGACAAACATTGCTGCAAAGGAAGAGTAAGGAGACAAATATTGCTGGTAGGAAGAGTAAGGGAAACAAATATTGCTGGTAGGAAGAGTAAGGAGACAAATACCTCCTGGTAGGAAGAGGAAGGAGACAAATATTGCTGGTGGGAAGACTAAGGAGACAATATTGCTGGTAGGAAGAGTAAGGGGACAAATATTTTTGGTAGGAAGAGTAAAGAGACAAACATTGCTGGTAGGAAGAGTAAGGAGATAAATATTGCTGGTAGGAAGAGTAAGGGACAAACATTGCTGGTAGGAAGAGTAAGGAGACAAATATTGCTGGTAGGAAGAGTAAGGAGACAAATATTGCTGGAGGAAGAGGAGGAGACAAATATTGCTGGTAGGAAGAGTAAAGAGACAAACATTGCTGGTAGGAAGAGTAAGGAAAAAAACATTGCTGGTAGGAAGAGTAAGGAGACAAATATTGCTGATAAGGGAAGAGAAGGAGACAAATATTGCTGGTAGGAAGAGTAAGGACAAACATTGCTGGTAGGAAGAGTCAAGGAGACAAATATTGCTGGTAGGAAGAGAAGGGGGACAAACATTGCTGGTAGGAAGAGTAAGGAGACAAATATTGCTGGTAGGAAGAGTAAGGAGACAACATTGCTGGTAGGAAGATGAAAGAGACAAACATTACTGGTAGGGAAGAGTAAGGGACAAATATTGCTGGTAGGAAGAGTAAAAAAGAGACAAACATTGCTGGTAGGAAGAGAAGGAGACAAATATTGCTGAAGTGGAGGGCACAAAGGAAGGTAAGGAGACAAACATTGCTGGTAAGGAAGACTGGAAGGGAGACAAATATTGCTGGTAGGAAGGGTAAGGGGACAAACATTGCTGGTAGGAAGAGTATTCAAGGAGACAAACATTGCTGGTAGGAAGACTAAGGAGACAAAACATTGCTGGTAGGAAGACTAAGGAGACAAAAATTGCTGGTAGGAAGAGTAAGGGGACAAACATTGCTGGTAGGAAGAGTAAGAGACAAACATTGCTGGTAGGGAAGAGTAAGGGAGACAAAAATTGCTGGTAGGGAAGACTAAGGAGATAAATATTGCTTGGAGGGGAAGAGTAAGGAGACAAACATTGCTGGTAGGAAGAGTAAGGAGACAACATAGGAAGATTTTACAAATGGAAGAAGAAGGAGACAAATATTGCTGGTAGGAAGAGTAAGGGCACAAACATTTCTGGTAGCAAGAGTAAGGAGACAAATATTGCTGGTAGGAAGAGTAAGGAGACAAATATTGCTGGTAGGAAGAGTAAGGGGAAAAACATTGCTGGTAGGAAGACTAAGGTGACAAATATTGCTGGTAGGAAGAGTGAGGAGACAAATATTGCTGGTAGGAAGAGTAAAGGAGACAAACATTTTTGGTAGGGAAGAGTAAGGAGACAAATATTGCTGGAAGACTAAGGAAGACTAAAGAGTGGGGACAAACATTGCTGGTAGGAAGAGTAAGGAGACAAATATTGCTGGTAGGAAGAGTAAGAAGACAAATATTGCTGGTAGGGAAGAGTATAAAAATTGCTGGTAGGAAGACTAAAGAGACAAACATTGCTGGTAGGAAGAGTAAGGAGACAAATATTGCTGGTAGGAAGAGTAAGGGGACAAACATTGCTGGTAGGAAGAGTAAGGAGACAAATATTGCTGGTAGGAAGAGTAAGGGCACAAACATTGCTGGTAGGAAGAGTAAGGAGACAAATATTGCTGGTAGGAAGAGTGAGGAGACAAATATTGCTGGTAGGAAGAGAGGAGACAAACATTGCTGGTAGGAAGAGTAAGGAGACAAATATTGCTGGTAGGAAGAGTAAGGAGACAAACATTGCTGGTAGGAAGAGTAAGGAGACAAATATTGCTGGTAGGAAGAGTAAGGAGACAAATATTGCTGGTAGGAAGAGTAAGGGGACAAATATTGCTGGTAGGAAGAGTAAGGAGACAAAACATTGCTGGTAGGAAGTATAAGGAGACAAATATTGCTGGTAGGAAGAGTAAAGAGTCAAACATTGCTGGTAGGAAGAGTAAGGGAGACAAACATTGCTGGTAGGAAGAGTAAGGAGACAAAACATTGCTGGTAGAAAGAGTAAGGAGACAAATATTGCTGGTAGGAAGAGTAAGGAGACAAATATTGCTGGTAGGAAGACTAAAGGAGACAAACATTGCTGGTAGGAAGAGTAAGGGGACAAACATTGCTGGTAGGAAGACTAAGGTGACAAATATTGCTGGTAGGAAGAGGAGGAGACAAATATTGCTGGTAGGAAGAGTAAAGAGACAAACATTGCTGGTAGGAAGGTAAGGAGACAAATATTGCTGGTAGGAGCTGCAAAGGAGACAAACATTGCTGGTAGGGAAGAGTAAGGAGACAAATATTGCTGGTAGGAAGAGTAAGGAGACAAATATTGCTGGTAGGGAGAGTAAGGGACAAACATTGCTGGTAGGAAGAGTAAAGAGACAAACATTGCTGGTAAGAAGAGTGGGGGAGACAAATATTGCTGGTAGGAAGAGTAAGGAGACAAACATTGCTGGTAGGAAGAGTAAGGAGACAAATATTGCTGGTAGGAAGAGTAAGGGCACAAACATTGCTGGTAGGAAGAGTAAGGAGACAAATATTGCTGGTAGGAAGAGTAAGGAGACAAATATTGCTGGTAGGAAGCTGGTAAAGAGACAAACATTGCTGGTAGGAAGAGTAAGGAGACAAATATTGCTGGTAGGGAAGAATAAGGAGACAAATATTGCTGGTAGGAAGAGTAAGGAGACAAACATTGCTGGTAGGAAGAGTAAGGAGACAAACATTGCTGGTAGGAAGAGTAAGGAGACAAATATTGCTGGTAGGAAGAGTAAGGGGACAAACATTGCTGGTAGGAAGAGTAAGGAGACAAATATTGCTGGTAGGAAGAGTAAGGAGACAAATATTGCTGGTAGGAAGAGTAAAGAGACAAACATTGCTGGTAGGAAGAGTAAGGAGACAAATATTGCTGGTAGGAAGAGTAAAGAGACAAACATTTCTGGTAGCAAGAGTAAGGAGACAAACATTGCTGGTAGGGAAGACTGGTAAGGAGACAAATATTGCTGGTAGGAAGACTAAGGAGACAAATATTGCAAATATTGGTAGGAAGAATAAGGGCACAAACATTGCTGGTAGGAAGAGTAAGGAGACAAATATTGCTGGTAGGAAGAGTAAGGAGACAAATATTGCTGGTAGGAAGAGTAAGGAGACAAACATTGCTGGTAGGAAGAGTAAGGAGACAAATATTGCTGGTAGGAAGAGTAAGGGGACAAACATTGCTGGTAGGAAGAGTAAAGAGACAAACATTGCTGGTAGGAAGAGTAAGGAGACAAATATTGCTGGTAGGAAGAGTAAGGGGACAAACATTGCTGGTAGGAAGAGTAAGGAGACAAATATTGCTGGTAGGACAAAAGAGTAAGGAGACAAACATTGCTGGAAGAGTAAGGAGACAAATATTGCTGGTAGGAAGAGTAAGGAGACAAATATTGCTGGTAGGAAGAGTAAGGGGACAAACATTGCTGGTAGGAAGAGTAAAGGAGACAAACATTGCTGATAGGAAGAGGAGGAGACAAATATTGCTGGTAGGGAAGAGTTAGGGGACAAACATTGCTGGTAGGGAAGAGTAAGGGGACAAATATTGCTGGTAGGAAGAGTAAGGAGACAAACATTGCTGGTAGGAAGAGTAAGGGGACAAACATTGCTGGTAGGGAAGAGTAAGGAGACAAATATTGCTGGTAGGAAGAGGAGGAGACAAACATTGCTGGTAGGAAGAGTAAGGAGACAAACATTGCTGGTAGGAAGAGTAAGGAGACAAATATTGCTGGTAGGAAGAGTAAAGAGACAAACATTTCTGGTAGCAAGAGTAAGGAGACAAATATTGCTGGTAGGAAGAGTAAGGAGACAAATATTGCTGGTAGGAAGACTAAGGAGACAAATATTGCTGGTAGGAAGAGTAAGGGGACAAACATTGCTGGTAGGAAGACTAAGGTGACAAATATTGCTGGTAGGAAGAGTGAGGAGACAAATATTGCTGGTAGGAAAAGTAAAGAGACAAACATTGCTGGTAGGAAGAGTAAGGAGACAAATATTGCTGGTAGGAAGAATAAGGGCACAAACATTGCTGGTAGGAAGAGTAAGGAGACAAATATTGCTGGTAGGAAGAGTAAGGAGACAAATATTGCTGGTAGGAAAGTAAAGAGACAAACATTGTTGGTAGGAAGAGTAAAGAGACAAACATTGCTGGTAGGAAGAATAAGGAGACAAACATTGCTGGTAGGAAGAGTAAGGGGACAAACATTGCTGGTAGGAAGAGTAAGGAGACAAATATTGCTGGTAGGAAGAGTAAGGGGACAAACATTGCTGGTAGGAAGAGTAAGGAGACAAATATTGCTGGTAGGAAGAGTGAGGAGACAAATATTGCTGGTAGGAAGAGTAAAGAGACAAACATTGCTGGTAGGAAGAGTAAGGAGACAAACATTGCTGGTAGGAAGAGTAAGGAGAAAAATATTGCTGGTAGGAAGAGTAAGGGCACAAACGTTGCTTAGAGCTTTAAAGGATAGAAATTTGTGAAGAGACATGATGAACCACAACTTGAACTGACATAGTATATAAAAGAAGCTTTTGAAAAGTAATTTACCAACCATTTTTAATTATTTCAGCCCAAGTAAGGCAAGAAAGCCACTAAGAAGCATTGTCAAAATGTACGAAAAGCATTATTAAAGAGTTAGAAGAATCAAAGAAGAGAAATTAAGAAGACAAAAGATAATGATTGTTACAGATCAAAACTGACTGGAAAGCAAGAAGCCGGAAGAGAAGGAACTCCTAGCATAGACCTTGCGGTTGCATAACCATTTCAACTTTAAGATGATAAGACCTTGCCGTCAGTCTATTCTTTCTTTTTATGTGCCATGTCCCGTTAGGACGTAGGCGATCATGGCTCTCCACTTTCTCCTATCCCTTTTAGCTCGCAATGTTTCGTCCCTCTGCCACCTCCCCCGGACCACGTTCTGTCATGCACTTGCTTAAGCCCGCCAGGTATGTCATGCGTTGCTTTCCCTTGTCTCTCTTTCCCTCTATTCGACCTGCGAGTATCAGATTCTCCAAGCCCACCTTTCTCATTACAGACCCAGAGATTTCAGCTGCACCTTCCTGCTGAAATTCCAGTTGTATATCAGTCTAGTACTTCGCTTAAATTCGTAGAGTCTAGGTCCCATAGAGGAAAGTTCATCAAAACAATTGCCATGAAACTATTATTGACAGGTATATTTATTTTTAAAATAAGAGTAACCACTATGATAACGTTTCAAGTAATATATATATATATATACACACACACACACACATATATATATATATAAATATATATATATATATATATATATATAACGTTTCAAGTAATATATCTATATACATATACATATATATGTATGTATAAATATATATATATATATATATGTATATAGATATACATTTTGAAACGTTATAATATATTTATATATATATATATATATATATATATATATATATGTATGTATATGTGTATGTGTGTGTGTGTAATGGATAGCGGCTTCGATTGAGGAATCGGAGAGCCGAGTTCGAATTCTAGTCGAATGCATTACATTCAGATACGTCCTAATACACTTTCTCTTCTCCTCCCCCGCCCTCTCAGCTGTTGGTAAATAGCAGGACAGACTGGGTTCTATAGCTTCGGATGGCAACTTGTCTAGGAGAGGAACAACTCTGAATTCAAAACCTGTGGAGGGCCGTTTGGAGATATTTGTGGCACAGGGTACACCAGGCCCCTGTATTCGACTCTTTAAAAAGGGCGACTGGTTCTGCACAAAGCCTTTACCACTAAAATCAAATCATATGTGCTGATGTCTAGCTGTCGGTTCCTAAGAATGGGTTGCTTGACCCTCATACGCCGATAAAACGACAGGAGAGTTCAGATATATATATATATATATATATATATATATATATATATATATATGTATGTATTAATGCAATTTGGGGCAGAAACCTTTCTTTTAAAGATCTTTAATTAATTATAAATATATATATATATATATATATATATATATATATATATATATATATATATGTGTGTGTGTGTGTGTGTGTGTGTGTGTGTGTGAATTGGTGCCTTTACAAAGAGTTGGTTGCTTGTTTGCTTACTCATGGAGAACAAGCATCTTGGGATATGCGCAGGCAAACTGCTCACCATATATGCCCCCGTCCCCACCCCCGCTCTCATCAATGAAGGCCGAACGAAAGTGGCCGGGCGCGGGATGGGAGTTGGAAGAAGTGCGATCAACATGCGGAATACGAGAAGGAAGTTCAACGGAATGAAAAGCGATCCGTCAAAGACAGGCGCTTCTATCTCGACATAACAAATCTAACCTTTATCACGAAATTCTACAAGAACCAAAAGAATAAATATCTCGAGATGATTTTCGGTAAGGCATTGGCAGACAAATAAGAAAGAAAGAAAGAAAGAAAAGAAAGAAAGAAAGAAAGAAAGAAAGAAAGAAAAACCGAAAGACTGAAAGAGAAGGCAGTAAAATAGAGAGAGAAGTAGGAATAAGTAAAGAAAGAAAGAAAGATCAAAAGAGAACGCAATAAAATAAAGAGAGGGAGAGAAGTAGGAATAATTTAAGAAAAGAAAGAAAGAAAGACCGAACGAAAGAGAGGGCAATAAAATAAACAGAGAAAGAAGTAGGAATATTTTAAGAAAGAAAGAAAGAAAGAAAGAAAGGCAATAAAGGAAAGACAGGAAGAAGCACGAATAATTTAAGAAAGAAAGAAAGAAAGAAAGAAAGAAAGAAAGAAAGAAAGAAAGAAAGAAATGCAATAAAGAAAGAAGGCACGAATAAAAGAAACAAAGAAAGAAAAAAGAAACAAAGAATGGAAGATTTAAAAGAAAAAGAAATAGAATAATTTAAGAAACATAGAAAGTAAGTTAGTCATGGAAAGCCGGAAAGAAGAGGGAAGAAAGAAAAAAAGAAAGAAAGAAAAAAGTAATAAAAAGAAAGAAAGAAAGAATGAATGAAAGACCGAACGAAAGAGAGGGCAATAAAATAAACAGAGAAAGAAGTAGGAATATTTTAAGAAAGAAAGAAAGAAATGCAATAAAGGAAAGAAAGAAAGAAGCACGAATAATTTAAGAAAGAAAGAAAGAAAGAAAGGAAGAAAAAACGGAAGAGTAGGCAATAAAAGATGAAAGAAATAGGAATAATTTAAGAAACATAGAAAGTAAGCTAGTCATGGAAAGCCGGAAAGAAGAGGGAAGAAAGAAAAAAAGAAAGAAAGAAAAAAGTAATAAAAAAGAAAGAAAAGAAAGAATGAATGAAAGACTGAACGAAAGAGAGGGCAATAAAATAAAACAGAGAAAGAATAGGAATAATTTAAGAAAGAAAGAAAGAAATGCAATAAAGGAAAGAAAGAAAGAAGCACGAATAATTTAAGAAAGAAAGAAAGAAAGAAAGAAGCACGAATAATTTACGAAAGAAAGAAAGAAAGAAAGAAAGAAAGAAAGAAAGAAAGAAAAGAAGGCAAAAAACGAAAGAAATAAATAATTTAAGAAAATGGCATGGAAAGCTAGAAAGAAGAGGGAAGAAAGAAAGAAAGAAAGAAAGAAAGAAAAAGAAGCAACCAAACAATGGCAATAAGGTAATGAAGCAAAGTTAAAATGAAGAAGGAATAATTTTAAGAAAGAAATAATGCAAGAAAAGACAACAAAAAAAGAAGGTATTATTTAAAAAAGAAAGAAGGAAAGATAGAAAAAATAGTGACAATAAAAGAAAGAAAGAAGAAATAGGAATAATTTAAGAAAGAAACAAAGAGAAACAGGAAGAAAGAAAAAAGAAAGAAAAAACGAGAAAAATCGAGATACTTTTCCGATCTTTGTTTACATTTATTTTGTGTGCAATTTTTATTTTCTTTTTATATCACATTTGTTTATGATTCCTTCAAATAAAGTCACTCTTAAAAAACATTAGGGAAGTTCAACTATGTAATATTTCAAATACGTCACAATACGCGTGCTAGAAAAAGAAAAACATATGAGCAACGTGCCGTGCCCCGCTTAAGTTTTAATTATGGTTTAATTAGACGATATCAATTGCAACTGCGACGAAAATAGAAATTAAAGTTAAACCTTTAATAAAGGAATGTTTTTCAAACCTTTCACTCCGTTCGATATTTAAATTCAACTTTAAATGTGTTATTTATTTAATTTTGAATCGCGTGTAACTACAGTAGTTACTCCCTGTTACATCAGGTTGTTTATATTTCACCGAGATCGAAAAACGGACGGACGGACGGACACACGTACACTGCACTATTTTTATATACTTTAAATGAAAGTAAGAAAACGAGAAATAACAAAATAAAAAGCCCTTATTATGATATGTAAAATGAAATCACATTTGAGTATTTATCAGCCGTTAAGTTTTATGAGTTGTGATGGGAATTATTCAAAGAAATGATAGATTTTAAACATTTTGTCATAAACGTCACGACAAATTAGTTTAAAGAACTCGAAATGAAACTTTTACACTTTAATTGTTGTTAATAATGCGAGGCAAGCTGTTTTCAAACAGTCAGCTCTCACTTAACGACTTACATATTAAGCAAATCTATGGACCTGTTTATAAAATCTTATAAATAAAATTCAAAAATCAAACCAACTAGTATCGTACGATGTCGAGACATTTTGATCGTAATTACTTTTCCTTTTTTCAAAATAAATCAAAATAAGTAAAATGAAAGATGAAAAAAAAATTCACTATGACTGGATTTAGAGACAGCTAAGAAAGAAAGAAAGAAAAAAGAAAGAAAGAAAGAATAAGAGGAAGAAAGAGGGAAAATAAAAAAGAAAGAAAGACAAGAAAGCAAGAAGTAGGTATAAGTTAAGAAATAAAGAGAAAGAAAGCGAGAAAGTAAGAAAAATAATTTAATAAAGAAAGAAAGAAAGAGAGGAAGAAAAAGTAGAGATAATTTATGATAGGAAGAAATAAAGAAGGCGAGAAAAAGTAGGAATAATTTAAGAAAGAAAGAAAGAAAGAAAGAATAAGAGGAAGAAAGATAGAAAATAATAAAAGAATGAAAGACAAGAAAACAAGAAGAAGGAATAAGTTAAGAAAGAAAAAGAAAGAAAGCGAGAAAGTAGGCGAAATAATTTATAAAGAAAGAAAGAACAAAGTGAGGAAGAAAAGTAGTAATAATTTAAGATAGGAGGAAATAAAGAAAGCAAGAAAGAAATAGGAATAATTTAAGAAAGAAAGAAAGAAAGAAAGAAGAGAGGGTGAAAGAAGTAGAAATAATTTAAGAAAGAAAGATTGAAAGAAAAATGAAAGAATGAAAGAAAGAAAGAAAGAAGGGAGGAGGAAAGAAGTAGAAATAATTTAAGATAGAAAGAAAGAAGGAAGGAAAGAAAGAAAGAAGTATGAATAATAAAAGAAAGAAAGAGAGAAAGAAAAAGCGTGAAAGAAGTAAGACTAATTTATGAAAGAAAGGAAGAAAAAGAAAGAAAGCGCGGAAAAAAGAAAATAAAAGGAAGAAAAAAAAGAGAGGAAAAAAGAAGTAGATATAATTTAAGACAGAAGCTTGAAAGAAAGCGAGGGATGTAAGAACGATTTACGAAGGAATGAAAAAAAGAAGCAGGAATAAGTTTAGAAAGAAGGAAAGAAAGAAAGAGAGAAAGAAGTAGTAATAATTTAAGAAAGAAAAAAGAAAGAAAGAAGGAAGGAAAGAAAGAAGTAAAGAAAGAAATAAGTAGTAAAAATTTAAGAAAGAAAGAAAGCGAGAAAGATGTAATAATTTAAGAAAGAAAGAAAGAAAGAAAGACAGAAGTAGTAATAATTTAAGAAAGAAAGAAAGCGAGAAAGAAGTAGTAATAATTTAAGAAAGAAAGAAAGAAAGAAGGAAAGGAAGTAAGAAGAAAGGAAGTAAGAAGAAAGGAAAGAAAGATGTAGTAATAATTTAAGAAAGAAAGAAAGAAAGAATGTAAGAAGTAATAATTTAAGAAAGAAAGAAAGAAAGAAAGAAAAAAGGAAAGAAATAAAGAAATAAAGCGAGAAAGAAGTAGTAATATTTTAAGAAAGAAAGAAGGCAAGTAAGTAAGAAAGAAAGAAAGAAAGAAAGAAAGAAAGAAAGAAAGAAAGAATGAATTAGAGAAAGAAAACTCATTTAAAGAAACAAAAAAATAAAACCGGAATAGTTTAAGAAATAAAAGGAAACGAATAAAATGTAGGAAAAGAAAGAAAGAAAGAAAGAAAGAAAGAAAGAAAGAAAGAAATGCTGTCATGGAAAGAGTGTAGGAAATAGAAAGAAAGAAAGAAAGAAAGAAAGAAAGAAAGAAAGAAATGCTGTCATGGAAAGAGTGTAGGAAATAGAAAGAAAGAACGAAAGAAAGAACGAAAGAAAGAAAGAAAGAAAGAAAGAAAGAAAGGCAGGCTCTAAAGCAAAGCTATTAAGAAATTCGTAATGTTTTAAGAAAGAAAAACGCGAAAGAAATCAGATAAAAAGAATTAAATAAAACTTTATTTGTCCTTTATTTCCAATAAGCAAGACCAAAGTCATCTACAGCATATAGAACTGATTTTCAAATGTGTATAAGTTGTTTACTGTTCAATACACTACTGCTGTGTACAAACATTTAGAAATAAATTAGGATTGACACAAATTGAGTAAAAGTTAAGCCGCTACCATCCGCTGTCTCACTTGCCTTCGATTCGCCCTGTAAGTGTCAAATTCTCCAAGCCCCATTATAGGGCTAAGAATTTTCAGCTGTTCCTTTGCGTTGTTTTTGTTTCTATTTTACTTAAGACTTCGCAGATGATTATTCGCACCGTCCGTGGTATCCTCAGCATCCTCCTGCAGAACTACATTTCTGTTGCTTTGAACGCTCTTCATCATCTGTGGGGAGACTGGTCAGCATTCACTAGCGTCAAGGTCTCGTTATTTTACAGTTGAAATGGCTGGATGTAACCGTAAGTCCTATGCTAAATCTTTCTTCGCTCGCACTTGTGGAACTCCTTTCTGACTTCTTGCTTTCCAATCAACTTCGATTTTCAAAAATTAATCGTTATCTTCTAACTTCTTAATTCCTGTTCTTTTACTGTTCTCTCTCTATCATAACGCTTTCCTTGTCTCATAATACTTTCACACACAGTCTTAGAGGCTTTCTTGCCTTGCTTAATTCCTGTTCTTTTATTCTTTCTCCTTAATAGCGTTTTTTTTACTCCATATTTGTTCATACCTACTAACCCACGTGTCTTAGAGGCTTTATTGCCTTGTTTAATTCCTGTTCTTTTATTGTTCTCTCGCCTTAATATTGTTTTTATTTTTTTCGTATTTTCTCAAACTCAGCAGCCTCTTCAGTTCTAGAGGCTAAAGCCTTTTTTCTCCTCTTCTTGTCTTGTAACGGCATTCACCCGGAGTGGGTTGAGCCGGCTCCAATTAAATTAACCGCATCGCGCGTCAAGGCCATCCACCCCCGACGATCGGCAGCAGAATCGACGGCATGACCGAGCCATTCGCGATCCCAGCATCGGACCCCGAAAACGCGAGGACCAGACATGAGTTAAATATCTGCTTTGACCGTTGCGAGCCACGTCTTGAGTTGACCACCTCGGCGCTTCCTCCAACCAGTGGGTGCGTTTGGCGCCACCAGTTTACGGACGAATTCATCACCAGGCCGCCGCAGCACGTGGCCGAACCACCGGAGTCTCCTGTTAAGCAGAGTTTCTTCCAGGCCCAGAATGTTGCATCTGGCGCGGATGGACGAGTTTGGGATCCGGTCGGAGAGGCGCACGCGCAGAATACGGCGGAGGCAGTAGTGATCGAAGACCTCAAGCTTATGAAGATCCTCTCTGCGCAGTGGCCAGGTCTCAACCATAGAGAAGAATTGTTCTGACCTTGGTTTCGGAGATTCGCAACTTCGTGGATCGTCTTATCTCCTGGCGAGATGTTATACCGGAACATACCTATTCTATTGTTAATAGACTCTCCCACAGATAATAAGTAGTAGTAGTAGCAGTCGCCAGGGGGCTCAGTGAGTTGAGTGAGTCAGTCGATGTCGGACATTGAAGTATCAACCACCACAACTAGATTGCTGCGTCATTAACTATTATTTTCAAGTTCCTAACGTTTTGTACGTCGAACCTAATTTAGGACCGACTTAGTGAAATACAAGCCTCCACTGTGAAAACTACTCTACAACACGAGACCAAAGTTGTTTTTGAAGACGGACAAAGGCAGGTCTAGCCAAATTTATACGGGTGGTAATTTCGTCCTTCGCTTGACCAGTGGCTGTAAAATTGGCGCCAAGATATTTGAAGTTTTCAACCTCTTCTACAGCTTCACCATCAAGGGTTACATCCACTCGATCAGGTAAGCTGAAATGATTGAAACATTTAGAAATAAATTAGTAATGTTATATTAAATTGAACATTATTCTAAAAGAGACGTTCAAGATAAGGGTATCGAAAAAAAAAAGCGTCGAAATTGTCTTTTTTTTTTTTGTTAAGCATTACGCCTCGAGCAAGGCATGAAGCCACTAGGATGCAGGGGGTTGCAGAAGATTAGGAGTAAGAGCAGATAGGAGAGATAGAAGAAAGGATGAGGAGAGGGATAGTGGATAGATCAAGGTAACTGGAGATGTCGATTGACATTACATTTGAATAGTTGGAGATTATAGCTCTCAGGGAAACAGTAATAGGGAAGGGTGTTCCACAGGTGAGATGTGCGAGGTATGAAGCTATTGGAGTAGAAGAGACGGCTACATTTTTAAAGAAATTTCTACAGTGTAAGGGTGGGAGAGGAAAGAAGCGCTGCCTCGTATTTGGCGCTTGAATTCATGGAGTCTGGGAACCAGTGAAAGAAGCTCATCAGAGCAAGACCATATATGAAAGCAATATTTGCGAAAAAAAGACAAAAACCTATACGGCGAAAAAAACTGAGGCGGGTTTTTCACGGCAAATTTTCGTAGGACGGCAAAGCACCAAACCAAATGAACACAATATTCAGAACATAAAAAATGGTAAATCTGAGGCGAGTTTTCCATGAGGGAAGATTTTCTATGGCGCAAATTACTGAGGCGAGCGGGGGTTTTCCTACGGCAAAATTTTCTATGGCGAAAATTATTGAGGAGAAGACACTGGTATTCAATTATTTTGGTCAAATGTTCTATTGTTACTCGATTTAAACCTTATACGGCAAAAAATTAAAAAAAAAAATTTCATCTTGACACCAGAACGACAACAATTTCCTGACTTGATGTTTTCCAATATAAAATATCTGATCAAGAAAATCATGTTTGACACTGTAAAAACGGCAAAAGGCTGGCATCCCACTCTCACCCTTTCACTGTTTGTGGCGAAAATTACTGAGGAATAGTTCCCTACGGTGAAAAATAACTCCGGCGAGTTTTCAAACGTCAAAATTTTATGTGGCGAAATTGTTGTAGGAGAGTTTCATCCTACCATCTGATGTAACGCCAAATTTTCGGTGAGTTCGTCCTACGGCTCGTCTTTCTTGGGGAAAATTAAAAAAAAATTAGATTGAATGCCGCAAAAAAAATAAAAAAACTGAGGAGAGTTCTCCCACGGCGAAAAATGAGGCGAGTTTTCCATGGGGAAGATTTACGGCGAAAAATTTTCTATGGCGGAGAGTTTTCCAAATGTTATACGGCGAAAAAATGCGAGTTTTCCTACGGTGGTGGCGAAAAATTACTGCGGCGAGTTTTTACGGCAAAAAATTTACGGCGAAAATATTCTATGGCGGTGAGTTCTCCTCCCCAAAAAGAGTTACGGCAAAATGCCCTACATGAAAAGTCACTACGGTGAGTTTTCCTACGGCAAAATGTTCTGTGGTGAAAATTACTGCGGCGAGTTTCTCTATGGCAAAATATTCTGGGGAAAATTTCTATGGCGAAAATTTAGTTTTGATGGGCGCAAATTACTGAGTTTTCCCACGGCAAAATGTTCTACGGCGAAAATTACTACGTCGAGTTTTCCTACGATAAAATTTTATGTGGTGAAAATTACTGAGGCGAGTTTCTCTACGGCAAAATATTCTACGGCGAAAATTACTGCGCCGAGTTTTCCATGGGGAAGATTTTCTATGGCGCAAATTACTGAGGCGAGTTCTGCCACGGCAAAATGTTCTGTGGTGAAAATTACTGCGGCGAGTTTTTCTACGGTGAAAATTACTGCGGCGGGTTATCCTACAGCGAAAATTTTCTATGGCGAAAATTACTGAGGAGAGTTCTCCCACGGCAAAATGTTCTACGAAAATTACTACGGCGAGTTTTCCTACGGTGAAAATTACTGCGGCGAGATTTCCTACGGCAAATTTTTCTATGGCGAAAATTACTGAGTTCTACGGCAAAATTTTCTACGGCGAATGTTCCGCATACAAAAAAAATAATAATAATTTGTTTGATTTTTCTTTTTTTTTTTTTTCATTTTCATTCTTTCCTCTCCCTTCCTTTTTTCGTTCGTTTCGTTTCATTCCTTCTTGTTTCATTCTCCTTCGTTCATTTTACCTCTTTCTTCCTTTCTGCTTTCACTTTCCTTTTTTCTTTTCTCATTCTTTCGCCTTCTTTCATTCTTTCTTTCATCTTTCTCTTTTTCTTTCTTTCTTTTACATTCTTTCTTTCTTTTACATTCTTTCTTTCTGCCTCTCTTTCTTCTTCATCTTTCAGAATTTGTTACTTTCCATCTTTCTCTTTCCTTTCCTTCACGAAAGCAAATGAAAATGTAATTTAATATTATAAGCTATCCTTTATTGAAAACGATCTCCTGTCCATCTGCGATACACACCAGGGGCGTTAATGGTTTCACGTGCGATCTGTTGCCACTGAAGTCATATATGTTCTCCCACTATGGGGACAAAAGTGATTGTTTTTTTGTTTTGTTTTTTTTGTCTTGTTTTTTGTTTTTTGTTTTTGTTTTTAATTAGAAAAAAGGGATGAAGTTGTCTGTTTTCGGTCTTACCTTAGAATAAGAATTAAAAATAGATAGATAGATAGATAGATAGATAGATAGATAGATAGATAGATAGATAGATAGAAATAAACTAAGATAGATAGATAGATAGATAGATAGATAGATAGATAGATAGATAATGAACAGAGTAGAGACTGTGATAGATAGATAGATAGATAGATAGATAGATAGATAGATAAAGAATAAAGATAGATAGATAGATAGATAGATAGATAGATAGATAGATAGATAGATAGATAAGAATAAACTGAGATAGATACATAGATAGATAGATAAGAATAAACTGAGATAGATAGATAGATAGATAGATAGATAGATAGATAGATAGATAGATAGATAGATAGATATGAATAAACCGAGATAGATAGATAGATAGATAGATAGATAGATAGATAGATAGATAGATATGAATAAACCGAGATAGATAGATAGATAGATAGATGAACGGTCTGATGTTGACAAATCTGAATAGACTATAGATATAAAGATTTGAAAACTAAGAAAGGGACAAGCAGACATTCAGAAGAAAGGCATTTTGTTTTATACGAATTTGTATCTGACTGCTCCTGTTAATATGGGAAAGTAGTGTCGGACATATTTGAGAACACAGCGCATAATGTTTTGTTCCGTGTGACATTCGTTAATATCTTTTCGCCAAAGAAGATGACAGCTTTACCACGAAATTCTGACAGGACGGAGAATGGCTTTTCTTATGCTTTTTTTTTCAAAGCTTTCTCGCTTTAAGCAATTTTTGTCCTTGTCTTTCTTAGAAATAAGACCCGGTATTCATATGAAAAGCTGATGTCTATCAACTCCGAAACACCCCCCCTTTGATTTTAAGGCCAAACTCGACAACCCGAAAGTCGTCGGAAACAATTGAATGGACCCTTTGTGCAAATGTTGCGTCTTTTCGCGCCCTGTTAAAAAACATGTCCGACACAATCAGTTTGCCCTTGGCGTGGTTCGTGTTAATTACCTTTTCTCTACGGACATCAACCAGAGACAAATTAAGAAATCATCCAGAGACAGACTAGAAAACTTGTCCTCACCAAACCCATCTCACTCTTCCCTATATTGCTAAGAATCTAATTACTTCTCTGTACCCCCGCCTTTCAAGACGTTGCCAGCATGGGTTCTCCACAACTTTTTAACATTTCAGTTAAGCAGTGTCGAGTCTGGTCAGAAGTTAGTTGGGCGACCACTTAGCAACACCAGGTACTGAATGCGACCTCCTACAATCAAAATTAGGGCTTGGCTTTAAATAACCTTAAGAGGGTAGATAAGCCGTCAAAATATAAATCAAGCAATCTGAATCTTTAGTCTTAGTCAAGACTTGCAGCATATCTCGGCGTTGCCTGTGCTTGATTCAAAAATCGCACGACATACAGCAATCGCTATCACTTGACTTAAAATATTTTTGCCCTTCCTTGCCTTTAAAGGAGTGCCGTTTGCCGTGCTGATGTTGCTACATGCCTTACTTCTTGCCTATCTCACACTGCGATTTTTTTCTAAGCTCTATACTAAACATTAAATCTGTTACGAAAAAAGAACTAAACAAAATAAACACAAAACGATCAGCTTTAAAAGGACTTGTAACTGGAAAAACCGAATGAAAAAGAATGTTAACAACAAATATTTTTTTCACACCCAACCCAGTTCTGCGGAATCAGAATCAACGTTGAGTTTAAGCAAGCGAATGAGCCAATTGGAGTAAAGTGCCATGCAGATTTAAATTTTTCCCACTTGTGACGAATTCAGCTATCGATTTTTTTTGCATGCTAGCATGCTAGTTAACATTCGTGTCAGTCAGCTGTTGGCTCTCACGCTGGCCAATAGAATATTCCTGCCTAATCGTGGCAGCCAGCTATTGGCTCTCACTCTGGCCAGTACAAAATGGCTGCAAACTACATGAAAACTTCCGTAGAAGCAGGAAAAAATCTATTATTTCCACTATCGATGGAAGTTGGGAAATGCAAAGTCGGTATTGGCCTTCACGCTAACTTGGAGCATGTGCATATAAATTTTGGTGCAAATCTGTCGAAAATTGCGGCCGTGCATTCGTTACACACACACACACACACACACACACACACACACACACACATCCTGCCTTTTATACGATCTATTTGCACCATCTCATTGAATATGTTTCTTAGTTTTCCTCTTTGTCTTTAATATGTGCTATGCGTGTTAAACTCTCTAAACCTTCTTACCTCATTGTCCCCGAAACATTTCAACCGTCTCTTTCTGATTCAAAATATAAAGGCCCTTTTAATCTCATGCTTTGTCCATGGCATATTCAATATGGCAGGTTTTGGCAGTTTGAAACGTTATGGTATTTCAAAATGAATGTTTGAACTGATTCAGTTTTTCTTATCAAATCGCGAAATGAAAGTTGTCTGGAATGGCTACTCTTCTAGATCGTTTTGTATAAATGCAGGTTTCCCCCAGGGCTCTATCCTTGGATCTACGCTGTTCCTAACTTTCATAAATGATATTCCTGGCATCAGTTCTCAAATCGGTGTATTTGCTGATGACAAAACTATTTGCTCTTGTCTTAATAGTAAGTCTGATCATTTCGATACGGTCAGATTGGCAGCTGATCTCAAAAATGACTTACAACCTGTTGTTAAATGGGGCAAGGAATGGCTTGTTAATTTTAACGCCTCAGAAAAGCAAACTACTCTCTTTTACTCAACTAAGAGAACTCTTTTTACCTTAGCATGGCTGAAGATACCCCCCAGAAGAGTGACTATTTGCGACTTCTCTGACTAACGTTTTCAGTTGATATGATGTCGAAAAAGTATATTAAATGAAATGCTAAGTCTGCAGCTAAGAAATTTCGTTCACTATGTCGTGTGAGACAATTTTTCTCGCCAGACTTTACCTTACATATTTATAAGTCTACAATTCGTCCTTGCTTTGAATATTGCTGCCAAATCTGGTCTGGTGCTCCTGCTATATATCTAGAGATTCTTGATAAAATCCAAAGAAAAATCTGCAGTGTTATTGGTCCATTTCCCGTCGCCGTTACGTAGCTTCCCTCTGCCTTTTCTAGAAATAATTTCAGGGCAGTTCTACTGATGAACTTACCGCTATGGTACCAAGACTTTATGAATGTAAGCGCAGTACTAGATTGGCAGCAAGGTCTCATAATTTTACACTTGAAATAGCTATATGTAACCGCAAGTTCTATGCTAACAGTTTCCTCTATCGCACTCTTCGTTTCCTTGCTTCCCAGTCAACTCTGATCTTCATAACTTTAAATGCAATATCAATCGTTATATTCTGTCTTCTTAATTCTTTTTCTTTTATTGTCTTCTTTCTTTACTAGTAGTTTTTCTAAAATTCTCTAATACCCATTAACCCCTTGCATCTTAGTGGCTTTATTGCCTTGCTTGGGATGGAATGATTATAAAATTTCTTCTGTATAAAGACATTTCTATTGCCGCAAGTTTTCTCTTCATATCCGAAGAAATTGTTCAGCATTTCTGGCTATATGAGAGGATTGATATTATAGAAGAATCCCTGACAACCGGACTAAGAAGTCCTTCCGGATATGAGAAATTGGTTACAAAGTCCGGATATGAGAGATTCCGGATATGAGGGGTTCCAGATATGAGGGATTGGTTACAAAGTCTGGATATGAGGGGTTATATTTAGATTAAAATAAAAGAACTGAAATCAGGTTTAACATTTATTTCGAATGTTTTATAGTAAACAAAATAAGCTAATGGTGAGTGCAATATAACGGAATTGATTTTAAGGAAAAAAGAAATAAATTATGTAATGTTAATGAAGAATTCATTAAATTAAGTATGCCACGTATGCAAAACAAATAATGTAACGAGGATGGTCAACTTTTTCCGCATTTCGTTCTGCTTTTGTTTTTGAAATTTTTTAAACGAAAAACACTATGAAAATGTAAAAATAGGTTTTAATACCAACAGTATATTTTTGAATAAAAAAAAATATTACCAGTAATACAAATTTTGAAGAAAAAAAATATCAGCACCAATAAAAAAAAAACTTGTCGGAATTAAATAACCAATTGAGGCTGATAAGTCGTGAAAAAAAAAAACTAAAATTTTTGTATGCATATTTGATCCCGATATACAGCTTAAACAATACATAATGCTGCAACCAATTTAAATGCATATCACCGAGTGCCGTGCCAAATTTCATTAAAATAGACAAGGAGTTCTTTAGCTAGTGCACATTTTTATATCAATCCGCGTATATAAGCAAACACTTGAATATTATATTCCAACTATCATGTGTGTGAAAAAAGTACACATTCTTAACATACTAACAACATTATTAATTAAATTCAAATATGCATAACACAACATATCTTTATAAAATTCACTACACTAGAACTTTTCAAATATAAAATAACTACTTGAAAGCTAAAGAGGCGATATTTGTCACATGCCTTGATGGTAAATAAACAGATGCGCGCTGATTTGCTGCCGTTACGTATTTTGAAATAAATGCGAGGAAGAAACAAATAGGTATAATAAAATATATATATATAGCAGAATCCCTGACAACCGGACTAAGAAGGCCTTTCGCATATGAGGGATTATATTTAGATTAAAATAAAAGAACTGAAATCAGGATTAACATTCAATTTCAATGTTTCATTGTAAACAAAATAAGCTAATGGTGAGTGAAATATAACTAAATTGATTTCAAGGAAAAAGAAATAAATTAGGTAATGTTAATAATGTAACGAGGATTTTTAATTGCTATTGCATGATGATTAATTCTGTGTTTTGGAACAGTCTTTAAAACATTTTTTGTCTTTTGAAAAGTCTTTAAAATATATTTTGTCTTTCGGAACAGTTTTTAAAACATTTTTTATCGTTTCGAAAGTCTTTAAAATATTTTTGTCTTTTGGAACAGTTTTTAAAACATGTTTTGCCTTTTGAAAAGGCTTTAAAATACTTTTGTCTTTTGGAACAGTTTTTAAAACATGTTTTACCTTTTGAAAAGGCTTTAAAATATTTTTTGTCTTTTGGAACAGTTTTTAAAACATGTTTTGCCTTTTGAAAAGGCTTTAAAATACTTTTGTCTTTTTGGAACAGTTTTTAAAACATGTTTTTACCTTTTGAAAAGGCTTTAAAATATTTTTGTCTTTTTGGAACAGTTTTTAAAACATGTTTTGCCTTTTGAAAAGGCTTTAAAATACTTTTGTCTTTTGGAACAGTTTTTAAAACATGTTTTACCTTTTGAAAAGGCTTTAAAATACTTTTGTCTTTTGGAACAGTTTTTAAAACATGTTTTGCCTTTTGAAAAGGCTTTAAAATACTTTTGTCTTTTGGAACAGTTTTTAAAACATGTTTTGCCTTTTGAAAAGGCTTTAAAATACTTTTGTATTTTGGAACAGTTTTTAAAACATGTTTTGTCTTTTGAAAAGGCTTTAAAATACTTTTGTCTTTTGGAACAGTTTTTAAAACATGTTTTGACTTTTGAAAAGTCTTTAAAATACTTTTGTCTTTTGGAACAGTGTTTAA